CCTTGAAACTCTGTTCCTTTGTCACTTGTAGTCCTTACCATGACTTTCTTCAACCCTAAGTCCTGCTAGTTTGGTTTTGTTTGTGTGTTTAGTCACCCATTCCTTCACTCAGTGAATCTGAGTCGCTTCTCAATGAGCCTGGCACTGGTGGCTGTGGCAGTGACAAGACGGATGTGGTCCCTGCTCTCATGGCACCTACAGTCCAACAGGAGAGTAGGACTTCATTTATTCATGTAAATCCACAGATATTTATTTAGTGCCTCCTGTTTTCCAGCTGCTACTGTGCCTAGCAACTAAATAGATGATTATGTAAATTGTTAAATCCTGTAATTATTTAATCTTACTGATACTATGTGCTTTAAAGAAATACAGGAAGCTGTGAGAACCTGTAATAAGGATACCTGTCCTATTTTGGGGTGGGGGTCAGGGAAGAGGTCCTTGAGGATGGAACATTCAGTGGAAGGTTGATTGGCCAAGAAAGAAAACCTAGATGGGAGCAGGGGTTGGCAGAGTGGAGAGACTGGGGTGGGTAGTTAATTATCGATGGCATTTCTTACTTATAAAATTATCAGCTGCTGTAGCATCTTAGGAGTGAAATTCTGCTTTTGTCGTTCGCCATTGTCCTGAGCTCCTTGATTGAGACATGCAGACTCCGTTGTTACAGATTCGTAGTCCTGCTTCTCTTTTCTGGTCAGTGAGCATTTTGAAATCTCTAGCTTGCAGCACCAAAGAGGTTTTTGGTTTTGATGAGAAATCAGGACATATTCATGAGAGGATAGTCAACCATGGAAGCTAAGTGTCAGATGAGTAATACAGTTAAATATTATTGGAATTCAGAGAAGGGTGCTGTCACAGAGATACCGAGTGATAGTGGAGGGCCTTGGAGGGAGTGAGGTTTGAATGGCAGGGAGACAGAGGCTCAGAAAAGCTGAGAAGAAAGGAGCCAGGCATTCCTACTAGGGAGAAAGGAGAGAGCAAAGGTAGGTGAGTGGGAATTCAGGGTAGCCGTTAAGGAAGAGGGTACTGTGGCCTGTAGGCCTAAACAGAGCCTGCTGTTGGACTAGTGACAGAAGAGGACCTGGGAAGGACTTTGAATTCGTGGCTAGGGCATTGGGACTTTATCATCTGAGCAGAGATGGCATGTGTAGAACACTGTTCTAGAATAAATCTGGCAATGATTGGGTTTAAAACTAGACACAGAGACATGAGGATGCCTGGTCAGCAGGTCGGTGCAGCAGATGTTAATGGAGCACTTCCTTTGTGGCATGGGGAGGGGAGAGGGCTGAATGAGTGCTTGCCTACGAAACCTAAAGACGTGTGCAAGATCCTGTTGGGGGTTGGGCAGGTGAGAGCCAGAGGGGAGACAGGAGGAGTCTAGCCTTTCCTTCCCTGCCCCTACAGGTTTTAGGGTTTGGCAAACTGGTCTACAGGTGAAATCCGTACAGATGCTCGATTTTGTAGAATGGTTTTTACGTTTTAAAATTATTTTTAAAATCAAAAGAACAATATTTTCATTATATATGAAAATGATGTGAAGTTCAGATTTTATTGTCCATAAATAAAGTTTTTTTTGGAGCACAGCCTTGCTTGTCCATTTATGTACTGTCTGTGGTTACTTTCACATACAGCTGCAGAGTTGAGTGGCTGTAACAGAGACCATGTGGCCCACGAGGTCTAACATATTTGCGTTTTTTTTTTTTTGGCCCTTTCCCAGAAACGTGGTCCACCCTGAGTCACACCTGTCCTCATCTCAGACCTTCTGTTCTCTGAAACTGAATGTCCTTATTCCTATTTGAGATTTTAAACTTCCTTGTCCTCTTTATGTTCCTCCCAGATTCTTGGCTTCTTCCTTCCAGGACCTTTCTCCTTCCAGATATGTTCAAGACCTATCCCACTTAAGATAAACAAACCCAACTTCATCCACTTGGACTTCTGTTCTCCATCTCCAATCTCTATCCCCCCCTTTCATTTCTTCACCTTAATCCAGATTTCTGACTCCATCTGTCCATTACAACTAGTCTGGCTGAGTCATTGGTGAATTCCTAGCTGTTGGATCCAGTATTTTCCCCAGCCCTTATCTTCCTGTTTTCTCTGACATATAACAGTTTAATCATTCTCTATTCCTTGAGACCCTTTTTCTTTCGGCTTCTGTGACATCCTTTTCCTTTGCTTCTCTCCCTAATTTCCTAGTCCTGTCTCCCACTTTCCTGTCAATGGCTTCTCTTCTTTTACCAGTTCCTTAAATACTGGTGACATTCAGGGGCCCATCCTTTGTCCTCTTAGCCAGTATTTGATTGAATACCTACCATATGCCAGTCCCTATATTGAAATAATTTATATAAGTTATTCCTAATTCTTCCAACAACCCTAAAAAGATTGATTTTGTTTCCTCCATGTTATAAAGAGGAAACAGGCTTAGTGAGCTTAAGTAATTTTCCCAAGGCTACACAGTAAGTGGTAGAGCCAGCCGACTTTCATGTACAGTGCGGCTAGCTATTCTCTGTGTACCAGACACTCCTGCCATAGCCTATGTGTCTGACTGTCTACCAGACATTTCCACCCAGAAGTCCAGGCAGCACCTCCAACCCAACTCATCATCTCTCCCCCTACCCCCATCCAGTCCAAAATTGGTATGTGACCATCTGTTTAGGTATCCAAGTCATAATCTTGGGAATTGATCTTGACTTGGCCTCTCTCCCACCCCTGCCACTCCTCAGCACCCAGTTGTCACAACTACCAGTCATTTCTCTCCCTTTAATTCCTCTGGAATCCATCCCTCGTAATGTCCGCTGTCACTTCCCTAGTTCAGATTCTTTTCATCTCTGTCTTGAACTCTTGTCCCTCTTCTCTTAATCTCTACCCCTTCTTCTATTCTTTTACTCTTACAGTCTATCTTCCACAGGCTTCCAGAATGATCTCTTCTAAACCCGAAGTCTGATTGTATTCTATCTTGGTTAAAATCTATCGATGGCCCCCCATTGTCCTTTCCCTCTACTGCACAGCTTAACTAAGGAGGCTTCACCTTACTTGTCTAGATTCCACTTCCCGTCTCCTACTTACTACAGGTGTGTTTGTGGCTCACTGTACCAGCATGCTCGTTCATCTTTCCATATAGTTCTCCAGGTGTTAACTCTTTTTGGAATGCCCATCTCTTGCAGTTTGTCCCTAAAAAACAGACAGACAAACAGCCCCCCTCAGTTACAGGCGAGTACCTCGGCTTCTGAGCCTTCACTGATTCTAGTCTTTCTGAAAAGGGTTAGCTTTCCCTTTTTTATGTTCCTCAGGCGCCATGGCTGTGTGTCCGTTGTCACACTCGGCACTGTGTGTAAGAATTGGTGCATGTCTGCCTCCGTATAACTGGTGCTCCTTAAAAGCAGAGAGTTTTGTCTTTTCCACTTTTTTCCCTGTGGTATCTAGCTTGTTGTCTAGGACATAGTAGTTCATTAACTGCTGAATGAAAGCCAGTAGTGTGGTGAGAGATACGGACTGAGGCTTTGCAGAAAGGTCATGATTAAAGGATGAAGATGTTTGCAGAAGCTGAAGAATGGGCGGTACTTAGTACCCTGATATGGATAGCATCAGGTAGTTGCCAAAGCCTTTTCACAAATGATTTGTCTCATTTTATTATTGTATTATTTTTATTTTGGCAGGGGGAGTAATTAGGCTTATTTATCTTTAGAGGAGGCACTGGAGAACCGAACCCAGGACCTTATGCGTGCTAAGCATGTGCTCTACCACTTGAGCTATACCCTCCCCCTAATGATTTGTCTCATTTTGTTCCGCCCAGAAGCACTATGAGACAGGGCAGGCATTCAGATTTGCCTTTTAGAAATAAACACCCGGGGGTAGGTATAGCTCAGTGGTAGAGCTCAGCACGCACGAGGTCCTGGGTTCAATCCCCAGTACTTCCATTAAAAGAGAGAAAGTTGAGAATGTTCTGTAATGTATAGGTTGTTGTCACCCTGGCTTGTCTGTGATGGAAAAAAAAAGAGAGAGAGAGAGAGAGAAATAAAAAACCCTGAAGTTCAGAGAAGTGAAAAGTCCTAAACATAAGTGCCAGAATTCAGACTTCTGCAGCCAAGTCTGTGCTGTTTCCCCTGCTCCAGTGGAGAGATGAGGAAGGCTTGGGAGATGAGAGAGAAGTCTGGGACTAAACCTACATATAGAGGTTAAAGAAAGGAGAGAGTTAGAGAGGAAGATAAAGAGAGCCCCCAGGAATTGCTGTCAGTGAAGGACAGGTTCTCAGAAGGAGAGGGCATCGTCCATGAAGATATCTTTTCAAATGCTAAAGGAAAATGGGACAGGAAGAAAGAGTTTGACCACCAGGAAGCTCAAGAGAATAATTTCACACAGGAAGGCCACCTTGCCGAGTGGTTACATGGGCCCTGTAGGGAACGGAGACCCCTGTGTACAACACCCTTTCAAGAAGGGTGGTCATTAAAGGAAACCAAGAGGCCGGCAGTTTGAAAAATGTTGTAGTACCAGATATTCCAAGAAATTCATGATACATTTTTTTAAAAAATTTGCAGACCTGAAAATATGCAGTGGAAACTGTGCTAGTATGTAACTGAGCTAGTGTACCTCTGACTGAGTATATAAATTTCAGAATGTTTTAGACGCAATTTAACATTGGTCAGTTCCAAGCAAGATATAGTGCCAGAAGGCAGGATGTTCAATCAGACCCTACAACAAAGTCAAATTGTGTTTGAATATGGGTGGCTGTAATAGTATATGCTCATCTTTAGAGGACAGATGTTTACTTGAGTCTGAAAACACCATGCTTGTGTTCATTTAGAGCATTTACCTACCTGCAAGCTTGTCTCTTCCCTACTCCTCTCATCATTTCTTGTCCAGGTGTAATTTGATCAACGAGGGTTAGAGGTTGCTTTCTGTATTTATGATACAAACGTGTTGTCTCATCCGTTATCTCCTGAGAGCCGAGCTCTGGGGGCAGTTAGGCCCTGGGCTGCTCTTCTGATGAAGTGTCCTCTGTCTGCCAGGTAAAGCGGTACCAGTGCACCTTTGAGGGCTGTCCCCGTACCTACAGCACAGCAGGCAACCTGCGCACCCACCAGAAGACTCACCGAGGGGAGTACACGTTTGTCTGCAACCAGGAGGGCTGCGGCAAGGCCTTCCTCACCTCGTACAGCCTCAGGATCCACGTGCGAGTGCACACGAAGGAGAAGCCATTTGAGTGTGACGTGCAGGGCTGTGAGAAGGCGTTCAACACACTGTACAGGTCGGCGCCTTCCCCTGCACTGCCAGCCTCCGCCCCCACCTCTGTCAAGATGGCAGAGCTCTCCCTGCGCGGGACAGATGTTCACTTCCAGGGCCTTAAAGAGGACAGTGAGGCTCAACTGTTGACAGTTCATTAGAGGAACTTGGTACTTAAATATTGACATGTGTTGAGTTGGTTAAAAATCAGAGTACATTTGTGTTGGGGTTTGTATCTCCTGAAATGATATCTTGGCCTGAGGACTTTAATATTTGGCATAGAGGAATATCTCTTGTTGGCCTAAGGATCTTGGTACTAAAATTTCTTTGATTTTCTTTCCTGCCTCCCCTGGAATGTTAACTTTTTTCTACCCCCAAGAAGTGGGGAGTGGGCCACTCAGTAGCCATTTCTCTTTTCCACCACTTGTATCAGGAGACTTGTATTAGTCTGCAACATCGGGTTTAAAATAGCAAACATAATAATAGCTATCACTTAAGCACTCACTGTGTGCTCAGCAGTGTTCTGAGTGCTAATCATCACAGCAGCTGATGAGGAAAAGGAAGCGCAGAGAGGTTTTGTAACTGGTTCAAGGTCCTCCTTCTGGTAGGGAGTGAGACTAGAATTTGAGTCCCAGGCAGCGTGACTCCAGAGTCACACTCATAGCACCGTGCTATCTACCTCTCTGAATTTCTCCTTGAGCACCAAATGTTGGATACTCATGTTACTAATACATGATGGATACAGAATTCACATGACATGCACTTGATCCTACGGCACTAAGCTGACGTGGAAGGCTCCGTAGTACGTGGCAACAAAGCGGGTTTCTCTGGGATGTCTTGCAGGCTGAAAGCACATCAGAGGCTTCACACAGGGAAGACGTTTAACTGTGAATCTGAAGGCTGCAGCAAGTACTTCACCACACTCAGTGATCTGAGGAAGCACATTCGAACCCATACAGGAGAAAAGCCATTTCGGTGAGTCTTACTGTTTTCTATTTGTCCCCGACCAGGTTTCAGCTGGTGTCTTGATGGACTCTAAAATGTTTCAAAGTGGAAAGGAAATTCCTTTCACTAGTTCTTTGGCAGCGCCTGCTCTCCCCAGGCTAGCTATCGCCAGCTACTGCAGATTGGAGGAGTGGTGATGGATTCCAGGAGCACCCCTCCTGTGTGAATGATGGCCTCTCTGCCTCATTTTTTTCCCTTTATTTTCAAGAGGTGTTTGTTGAAACTCACTTATGTGGTGGGTACTTTGATCAGTGCTAGAGAAATACTAAAACAAAGGCCCTCCTCTTGAGAACCTTAGTCTGCTGGAAATGAACCACAAGTAACCAGACAGGATCTGAGACTGAGATGCTGAAAGTGCTTTGAGCACAGGGGAAGGGCTTTCTACCTAGGAAGAGGTGAGGAGGAAGGGAGGGGACGGGAGGGAAAATGAGGAGTAGGAATGCTTAGGCTAGTGGTGCAGGTATTTTATTTTATTATTCATTCAGTTGTTGCTTTGTAACATGTCATGTGTATATACAGTGATATAGGAGCATGCACTTCTATCTGTAGATTTCAATTTATATAAATATGTACACACATGTTTAATAGATATAGATATAAATGTAAGCTTAAAGGAAGGAGTTGTATCATCTCCTTTTTTTGCTTGTAGCATAAAGCATGGTTCTGGGCATTCAGTAGAGATTGAAAAACAACTTTGGGATGATCCTATGACATTTTTTAATGAGATTTCAGTTTGTAAAGATTCCCCCTAAATATCATGTAGATATGTTACTGAGAATTGCCCATAAACAATGTCTGAATTTTGGCAGGAGAGATTGCTGTTACGTTCACAGCATTAGATACGCTACTTTTCTGTTCTCAAATCACTCATCTCACTAGGATACCGAGAAATCTAAAAGCTTTCAGGGACAATGAGCTCTTAAACACCAATTAAATGAAATTGTGTTTTAAAAATTATAGATGCAAAGATTAAACAAACAAACAAAAAATTACAGATGCATTCCTCAGCCTTGGCCCCTCTGAAAGCAAGAGTATTTAGATCCTAGTTGGTTACTGTGCAGAATCTTAGGTTCCTTAGGTGAATCTTAGGTGAAGCTTAGGTTCCTTTTTCCCTGTAGGACTGTTAAGGGGACTCTGATTTCTATCCAATCACATGCATTTTTGTAATGATTAAAACTGCTAATTTTTCTTGAATGTTAGATGGGGCTTTAGACACAAGGATTACATGTAATTAAAGAGTAAAGTGCTTTAGAGAAGCTTTCTACTTAAAATATTTTGGCTTATAAGCAAATGCATTTATTCATATAAATAATTACTGAATGCCTGCTATGTGCAAGAGCTACAGCAGATGTAAAGAACTCCGTGGACCCTGCCCTCAAAGAGTTTACAATCTAGGAGAACAGATAACAGATGTATGCACATGGAGATAAAGGAAGATTGGAAGTGACTGGTGTCATAAAAGCAGCGTGTGATAAACGCCCTAGGAATTCTGAGGCGGGAAAGATTCCCTCTAGCTTTGGTTATGGAGGAAGTGAAAGAGAAAAGCTCTCCACGCTGATTATAGATGATTATACTACAGCCTGTGTGCTCTGACTGATTTTGTTCTAGCTCCATGCTTGCATGAGAGCCTCTGTACCCACTACTGATACTCCTCCTATTCTGTTTTCAGTAAATTTCCCACGTGTGTTCTCATTGTCCATAGACTTCTATTGTGTTATTCCCCCGAAGGCTTTTATTGTTAGGGCTCTCAACATGTGCCTTGCCTGTAGGACAAGAAATACTCATCCTGGACCATCAGCTCCCTCTGATCTTAGATTTGTCACTTATTTTTCCAGGGACCTACCATCATTCCCATCTGTGAAGCCAATTTCATCAATCTGATCTTAGTGTTCTGAGCAGTTGTTTTAATTTAAATTTATATTTACAAGAGATACTGAAGATAAAGGTCTATTAGCTAATGATTGCTGTCCTCTTTGCTTGAACAACTTATTTAGGTGTGATCATGATGGCTGTGGAAAAGCATTTGCAGCAAGCCACCACCTTAAAACTCACGTCCGTACACATACTGGTGAGTTTAGGCTAGTTTTATATCTTTTAACCTTCGTTGAGCTAATAAATATCTGTGTTTCCACTCAGACTGTAGAGCTTTGTGGAGAGAGCAAGCCTAATCAGCTTAGCCTTCACCTGTAATGTTTGAATTTCTTTCAGAGCTAAAAGGGATCTAAAGGTTGGACACAGGAGTCCAGCCTTAAAAAATAAAGCCAGTACACAGATACTCCAAAAGGAATCTGAGAAAAAGAAAACTAGTCTCTTTAAACTTCCCAGGAACAGGCCATTCTCAGTGCTTTGCTCAAATATTAGGACTGCGATGATTAACGTGTAATTTATCCAGTTTATTACTTGAACCTTCATTAGAATATTTACTTTCCTCTATTAGGGGAAAGTAGCTGTCTTAATCCAGTGAAATGCTTTTATGGTAAAATTAACACTGTTTATCATTCTTGCAGGTGAAAGACCCTTTTTCTGCCCCAGTAATGGCTGTGAGAAAACATTCAGCACTCAGTACAGTCTCAAAAGTCACATGAAAGGTCACGATAACAAAGGACACTCGTACGGTGCACTTCTAAATCACAATGGATCAGAGGTGTGCAGTCTTTAGTCTCTTGTTATGATCTAAGCACCTCAGAGCAGTAACAGTTGTTTGTGTATCAGAATAAAAGGTTAAAATGCCTTCTCTCTAAATTGGTCAGTGAGAGGGAAGAAGTCAGTGTCAAGATCTTTATCTCTGTGATGAGGTGGTGGAAGCCGGAAGTTTCGCCAGGCTCCCTGTGCTTCAGCCTCCGATTCAGCCCTGCCCTTCCTTCAGGTGTGGTGGAAGAGATGTCTTGAAACCAGAGGCCTCAGAATGTCCTCCGAAGGGTAGCTCTCAAAGGGTGTTATTTTCCCATTCATGTCTATAAAATGGTATGTTTGGACTTGACTTTGGAACACAAGTTAATGATGTGCTTCACACATCTGTTAATTAATCTATCATTGGAGAACCAAGCAGAGTCTGCGGGGGTCCCTTGCCCTTTTGAATTGTCCGTAGACCAGAAAATGTGAGAGCCGCCGCTGTAAGTCCCTGAACCACAGAACAAGCCTCTGCAGAGCTTTAGGCAGTTTTGTCTGTTCTTTACAAACCCTCCCACCATATTTCCCTCTCCTCTGCTACTTCTTTCCAGAGAGATGCTGGGATAAATTTACTGTTACCACTTCTGACATGGTATTGGGCACTTCCCTTACATCTTTTAAACCTAGGAAGTGAGTACTGTTATTATTTTACTAATTCATAGATAAAGAAACTGAAGCACACCAACCCCGTTTCGAGTAACAAGGTTCTTAAAGTATATAATACGTTTCTTTTCAAATTATATTTAGTTATGTGTAATATAGTTTTGATTTGGGAAGAGACAGCATACTTTTAATTCTGTGGTTTCTAATTTTTCATCAGTAGAGGATCCCTTTAAAAGGACTCTCCCCTGTGTTTTATTAGTAATAGCAACTAATATTTACTGAATGTTTACTACGTGCCCAGTACTGTGCAAGGGCTGTTGTATGAATTTTCTCACTCACAGGATGCCAATACTGTTATTATTCCCATGTTACTGATAAAGAAACTTGAGGCAAGGAGAAACTCAAGTATCCAAAGCTTAGTCTACTTCAGGCAGGTGGTCTGATTCCAGAGCCTGGTTCTTGACGCCAGTGTTGTAAGAGGCAAAACAGCATTGGTTGTGAAGAGTGTGAATTCCCATCCAAGCGCCACCATTAATCATGTGACCTGAGGCATGTGGCTCCTTTGTGCCTCAGGCTCTTCTAAAACCCAATAAAAATGTTAAGATTTGAGAGTCTTTGTCCACTAAGCAGCATTTATGAAGTCGTGATCAATTCTCTCGTTTTTGTGACAGTCCGACGACGGTTTCTTGCCAGCAGCACTCTTGCAGTGCCCCAGTGCACCGGGCCCAGACCTCACCTTCTCTGGAAGGCTTTTCACTCCCCAGGGGAAGGAATGTCCCCTCTAGTCTCAGGCTTTCAATGCCACTGAGATTGCCTTTGAGTCCTAAATTTATATCCCCAGCCAGACTTCTTCCTGAACTTTAGACTTGTGTGTTCAGCCTCCCACTTGACATCTCCATCCAGCTGTCTTCCCCTTTTCCCAATCTTGGCGTGTCCCAACCCGTCCCTCCTGCAGTCTTCCGCATCTTAGTAAACAGCACCTCTGTTTTTCTAGTGGCACGGGCCAAAAATCTTAGAGTTGTTCTTGACTCCTGTTTGTTTGTTTTTTTTCCCCTTCATACTCCACACCTACCAGCAAAGTCTGTTAGTCTACCTTGAGAACATGATCTAGAATCTGATCGTTTCTTCTGATTACTTCATTCAAGCCACTGTCGTTTTTTGCCTGGATAATTGCAGTAACTGCTAAATGGTTTTCTTAGCACCTTTTCCCCTCCTCTCCCCACTCCTACTCTGCCTTGATCTTTCAAAACCATAAGGCAAATCATGTCAGTCCTAGGCTCATAACCCTTCAGTAGCTTCTTGTGTCACTTAATGTCAAAGTCAAAATCTTACGAAAGTCCAGAAGGCCGTGGACACTCTGGCCTAGTCACTTCTCTGACCTAATTTACATGTCTTCCTTTCACCTCAGGCATACTGTCCACCTTGTGGTTCCTTGAACAAGGGAAGCTCACTCCTGCCTCAGGGCCTTTGCACTTGCTATACCCTCTGCTTGGAATACTTTCCCCACATACGTGCCTGGCCCATGCCCTCTTTCCTTCAGTATCTACTCAAATGCCACCTTATCTAAGAGGCCTTCCCTAACGAATAAAAGGGCAGCTCCTACCCTGGCATTCCCTGCTCCTTTTACTCTCCATAGTAGTTATCATCACCTTGTATACTATATATATATTTTTTTTGACACCCTCCCCAACTAGAATGTAAGCTCTCTGGTGGCAGCAACTTTGCTTCGTTTATTATTGTATCCCTGGGCCTAGAACAGTACCTAATACATAGTAGATGCTTAATGAATTTTTGTTGAATGTGTGCATGAACATCTGATTCACGAGGTAAAGCAGGGTTACCATGTAAAGTTGTGCATGAACGTCTGATTCATGAGGTAAAGCAGGGTTACCATGTAAAGTATGGAACTACAACTTGCATTCTAAGAATCCAGGGTTCAGAGTTAGCCCAGGCAGCTGTATCTAAATAGGTACTCCCCAGCACCGCTCTGGGTAAGGATCCCTGAGATGCCCATGCTGGGACACAGTGATATACTGGAAGGAAGATGGCCTTTCAGTCAGAAGCACTGGGTTTGTGTTATGCTAATTAGCTGTGTGATTTTGGACAGTTTACTGCAAGTCTTAGCATTAATTTTCTCATATTTAAAATGGTAATGTGTAAATTAAAAAATTTTTAATTTAAAAAATAAAATGAGAATATGAATACTTCAAAGATTTATATGACTAGTGAATGAGGTCATGTGAAATCACTTTCTCAATGAGAAGACCAATTATACAAATATTATTGATTTTTTATTATAGCTTTTGTTACTCTGTAGCCTGAGTTATGATGTAATTCTTAAACTCTGTTAACCATCTTTTAAGAAATGTAAGAGAATCTTCTTAAGAATATCAGGATTTTAAAAGTTGAAATAATTCACATAGCCTTTGCTTTAAGTGGTTTTTACCTCTCTTGGTAACACATCTAGACATTTGGAACCTTAGGGACACTGTAGTCAAGTGTTTTATTGCATGATAGGCTATTATAAATCCTAATTTTTTTCATTTCTCAATTAGAATTTTCTATTTTCTTTCACAGGATACAAATCACTCACTTTGTCTGAGGAATTTGAGCCTTCTGTCCACAGATTCTGAATTTCAAGAAAATTCCAATACAGTAAGTATGCCTGTAATGTGGGTGCTAGAAAAATAAGGGCAAATATCGAGCCCTCCCTTTGGTGGGAAAATTGAGGAAAGCCAATCTTTGAAGTCTTTCAGATTTATTTGTGTTCAGTTACTAACCATACAGGGTTTTTTGGTTTTGGTTTTGTTTCCTGATAAGAGCTCTCCTGGGAGAGGCTGTTCTCTCTGACGCCTAGTGCCTTTTGACCCAGATCGCTCACTTGATAACCTCCTGCCCCAGAAAATGTCTTTCTTTATTCACTTAGCAAATATTTATTGAGTGCCTGCTCCTGCGGGCAGAGTGCTGGCGCTGAGCCTGTAGCGGTGGGAAAGTAGGTGTGGTCTGTCTTTAAGAAGCTTAAAATTAGTCCACGGTAAAGGGGAGCCCGGATTCCAGTTTCCAGACTTTTCTCAAGCCCTGCCAGTCTGACCCGAGTCAGTCTTCTCCTTTCTTTGAGCTCGCTAGACTGGAGTTCTGAAGGGGGCCTCCTCTCCAGGCCCTCTGCTAAGGGACAGCCCCTGTGTCTCTTGATCTGCTTGCTGTGGTTCCCAGTTTGGAGTTTCCCTGCCATTCCCTTGGCTCCATGATGTGCCTTGCAAAGCACTGCATGAATCCTGAACTTACGTTCCTTCAAGAGGATCTGTGAGCTTTACTGTGTCACCGATTCTGGTTGTTAAATGTGCGTATTTTGTGTTTTTCGTAAATAAATACAGCTTAAGTTAGATTTTCTGTGAGTATATGCATAAAAGTAAGGCGGAATCCACGTGGTAGGAAGTATTTGAACTGAGACTGAATGACTCAGGAATGTTGTGAGAAAGTGTTTCCCAAAGTGTGAAGGTGGAGTCATCTGCAGCCCTTCTAAAGATCTCGGTTCTTGGGCCCCACCCAGGCCCAGAGTCAGTATCCTCTGGGAGGGGCACCTGACACTGCATTTTTATATTAGCAGGCCAAGGCCTGGGTTCTTCTGGTAAGGGCAGAATTGCTCTTATCAGACCAGCCCTCCCACAGAGAACAATTATATATGCTGAGCAAAATATAAAAAACAACTACTTAAAGACACCAGCAAGCAACAAGCAGGCAGAGGTACACTTGGAAGAAGGGGCCACTTGGAAGATAGCAAAGGCACTGGATGGATTTCAGGTTGTGTGGCTTATCCATCCTGATCAGAGCAAGTCTCACGTGATACCAAAAAAGATGGCCCAAACTCAGTAAACACTCAATCTTCCTGGCTTGACTAACCTGGGACAGAGTTCAGGGCTACCACGGCACCTGGAAAGTCAGCGGGGATGGCCTGGAAAGGAGAGCGCCACAAAGGCGAAGCCCCAAGTTCTGTGTATAAACTCCGTCCAGATTGCTAATTGACCCCTGAACTCTGAACGCGTGGGGCAGACCCCAGCAGTCCAGCAGAGGCTGAAGAACTGCACAGAGATGACAGCTGCCACCCACTGCAGGGAAGATAGAGCTTGGGGTCAGAGCATGGCCAAGTCACCAGAACGTTAAAGCAAACAACCAAATACTCTTCTAAGAAGTGTAACAAGAGTCCTGAGTCTCTACAACATATCATTTGCAATGTCTAGGGTTATCCAAAATTAGCAAACGTAAGAAGACACAGGAAAGCATTACTCCTACTCAAGAGAAAAGGTAATCTTTGGAGACCGACCCCACGATGAGCCAGATATTAGAATTAGCAGACAAGGATTTTTAAGTAGCTCTTAAATGCTCGAGCGCATAACAGAATGTGCTTGTAATGATTGAATAAATAGGAAATCTCAGCAGAGAAATAGAAACTCTAAAAAATGTACCAAGTGGAAATTCTGGAACTGAAAATGTATTAAAATTTTAAAATTCCCTGGCTGGGCTTAACAGCAGATTGGAAATGACAGAAGAAGGAATCAGTTAAACAGAGCAATAGAAATTAACCAACGTGAAGAACAAAGAAGAACAGGAAGGAAATAGCACTTCATGGGATTGTTTTGCATATTCACATTTCAGAGCTGATACTCTAAAAGAAATTTCAACACTGGGTGGCCTAGATTGCCCTTTGAGCCACACAACCTAAGATTTCTGGGTTTAATGGCTCCTTAATCTCAGAGGTCATGTTAAATGGTATAGGTGTCCACTCCCTGGCCAGAGCTGGGATATATGACTGAGGAACTTCCTAGAGCCCAGGGGTCACCAGGTGAGGAATCATATGAGGGGACAGTGAGGACCTGTTTTTTCTACCACAGTTTATAGCCACAAGAGAGAGCCTTGCTCTTTCTCTGGGGATCAAATTACCTGTTGTCTGCTTGTCACCCAGTGTTTATTTGTCCCAGAATTGGAAATAGGCTCATTTTTAGTCTTTCAAACTAAGGCCACAGTTCTGGAAGTAACAGGATTACTTGTGCTTTGCTTTGCTTTAAAACAAAATGATGAATGATTAAAATCAAACGATATATTTTTATGAGATCATCATTTTACAGGTTCCTGGGCAGCCACATTGTTCTGTATGTCTTCAAAGTGAACTTGGGTGGAAGTGGCGGGAGAGATGTTGGCTCCTGAGCTTCAGGATCCATCCTGCGCCCTAAAAGCCCAGTGTCCTGGTGGCTCTTTGCTCCAAGGGCCAGGGCCCAGCCTGTCCTTGTCTCTACTTTGCTGGGCGGTTCCAATTCAGTTTGCTCCCAGGGTTGTTTCCCTGGGGCCTGCCAGTGGCTAAGTCACAGTCCCCTCAGCACTTGCCTTTTTTCTTTTTTTTTAAATTAAAAGAAAAAAAAAGCTTTTTATTGAGGTGTAATATACATACAGAAAAGTAGGCCTATCATAAATATACAGCTTGGTGAATCATCATCATTTCTCACATCCATATACCTGGCACCCAAATCAAAAAACAACTTTCCCAGCACCCCAGGAGCTCCCTTCAGGCCCTCTAACCACATTACTTCTCCCTAAGGATCCCCACTATCCTGACTTCTAACAGCCCAAGAGGAATTTTGCCTGTTTTTGTGTTTTGTGTAATTGGAATCACACGGCACATAGTTATTTGTGCTGGCTTCTTTCCTGCAACACTTTAAGACGTTAATCCATTATTGTCACAGATAGTCATAGATCATTCATTCTCATTGTTGAACAGTATTACACTGAGTGTATCACAGTTTGTTCTGTCTACTGCCCTTGGGCGCTGGGGCAGTTTCTAGTTTGGAGCCATTATGACAGTGCTGCTCTGAACATTGTTGAGCATAATCCTTTGAAGTCACACGGACTCGTTCCTTTTTAACAGTGTCATTCCTGATAATGATTCGTAAACAGGTGGGACAAAAATAACAACCATGAGAAAGTTGCAGAGCTTACAGCTTCATGGTGGTTGTTTGCTCACGATGTTTCCAACTGGGTGGCCCCTCTTTATTGGGTTATAAAATAGTGGTTTATAATCAGCATTTTAAGGACATCAACAGAAGAGAAAAGATCAGAAGACATTGCACATAGTAAGGATATGCTCTGTGTCATAGACTTTTGTTTCAGTTATACGTACGGATATGTATGTAATGTGAAATCAGTGTATATGTAACATATTTCTTACTTTTTAACCTGATGGGAAGTTTGAAGGCACTGACTTGGCCTGTGATTCTTAACTCCCTCCGAACTGGAAGCTGGAAGCCTTACATAGATTTCTGCCTTCAGCTTCTGTCACGGTGGCAATCAGCACCACTGAACTTCCCCTCTTGTTCTGCCAGTGATGGGACATGTGAGAATGATTGGCCCCTCTTGGCTCAAGTGGGCAGTTTCGTGTGTAAGGCCCTGTAGATTGGAGGGCAGCTCTGCTCACCACACTTCCGCCCAGCCCCACGCGGGTCCTTTTCCCTCCCAGAAGCAGAGTTGTTGCGAAATGCCCTTAAAGCACAAGTTGGCACCAGGTCGAAATCTGGCCTGAAGATAGGTTTTGCGTGGTCTATGCAGTGCTTTTAAATTGTTTCAGTTACTTGCTTTTAATTATAAATCAGTGGATTTCACATAAAAATCCAAATTTTGGACGGTTGGTGAGCTTTGGTAACCCTCAGCATGTGTGTCACCTTCAGCTCAGGCCTGTGGCCGAGGGCGCGGGCTCCCTGGTTTGCCAAGGTGTCCCCGGCCCTGCCCTCTGCTTCACGAATTTCTGTCGCTCCCTGGACTTTGGAGGTGGTTGTCTTTGTCACTCCTGCCCTACAAAATGCGAATATCATATCATATCGGAATATCAGATGTTATGTAATAACCTTGAAAGGTATTCACAATATATTATTATTACATGGGAAAAGCAAGTTTCAAGAAATAGATATTATACAACACCAGTTTTTTAAAATTTACAAATATTTACCTTTCATTGTTTCTAAGAACAGTTTAGAACTTCAGCTTTTTAAACTTACATAGTTATCATATACAACACCGTTTTTATGTAGAATTTGGTCTTTTAGAGCAAGGATCAGTAAACTTTTTTGTAAAGGGCCAGGTAGATATTTTTGGCTTTGTGGCCCATGCATTCTGTCACAGCTCCTCAGCTCTGCCTTTGTGGTGCAAAAGCCACATAGACCTTCCAGAAATGAACAGGAGTGCCTGTTCCAGGGCAACTTTACTTACAAAAACAGGCATTCAGCCAGCAAGTGAGTTTGTTGATGCCAGCTTTAGAGTATATGAGGAGCTACGTCCTCAGTGTCTGAGGTTTAGGGAAATGTCACCTCGGGGAAGGAGAAGTTAGAGACAAGCATATCCAAAGAGCGTTGTGGTTCCACTGCTCTTTGTCCTCTCGTGGTGAAGAGTTGCTTTCTGATGGCAAGCCTCTCATCTTTGTCTGTCTCTTTGACACAGGGCCAGAATCTCAGCACAGTTTCACCAGCAATCCTTTTTGGACCAATGTTCCAGAAGTCAGATGATATGGCAATTCAGGGAGATCCTCAACAGACAGGTTTGTCATCCAGACTCTTCCTGCTACACCTCAGCACTGGGAACGGGAACCCACAGCTGCTGACACACTGGATAACACGCACAGTGAAACATTTCAGTTCCTTTGAAATGTTCTTTCCATGGGTCAGAAAAGGATAGGTTTTTTCAGTCTAGGTCCATCTTCTTCTTTCATCAAGGGTTTACTTGAGGATCTACTTTCCCTGCACCCTCAAGAGAAGAAGGTCCCTTTTTCCAGAAGCTCTTGTTGGCTTTGAAAAATGGGAGGTTGTAGTGGTGAGCCCTTTCTTCTGATGTGACACCCTGTTCATGAGTGGGTATGATCCGCGAACCAAACTTCAGACACGTAGCTCAAACTGTTTAAATGAAAATCTGTCCCTGAAGCTTCACGGCAGTCAGAAATTGTGTTCACTGGTCACGCCAAAAAGGATGTCTAGTCTCTTTTACAGAAAAGTTGTAGGACACTTATTTCTATGGTTAGAGTTTTACTAGGTCTTCACGTTTAGAAAGTGAGGTTGATTGTGAAGCCTGGTACTTTGACCAGAGATGTCATTATATGAAAAGCAGCAGGCAGGCCTGCTAGCAGTGAAGGAATTGGCTCTAACAGACTTCACCTGTCTTTGGTGTAGCCCATAATGACCGTGTTTTTGTGGCTCACATAAGGCTTGGAATATGTATATATATTTCTATTTCTTTTTCTTGCCAGCTGCCTTGATTGAAAGTTTTAATGGTGATGCAGAGTCAGTCAGTGATGTTCCGCCATCCACAAGAAATTCAGCATCTTTATCTCTTCCACTTATACTGCAGCCTGGCATCCCCGAGCCACCCCAGTCTCTGCTACCAGCCTCGGCACCGTCTGCTCCTCTGCCTGCTCCCTCCCTAGGAACTGGTTCCCAGCAAGCTGCATTTGGCAACCCCCCTGCTCTCTTACAACCTCCAGAAGTGCCTGTTCCCCACAGCACACAGTTTGCTGCTAATCATCAAGAGTTTCTTCCGCACCCCCAGGCCCCGCAGCCCATCGTACCAGGACTTTCTGTTGTTGCTGGGGCTTTGGCATCGGCAGCAGCAGTGGCATCAGCCATGGCAGCACCGCCCCACCCACAAAGTACTACTGAGCCCTTGCCAGCCATGGTCCAGACTCTGCCCCTGGATGCCAACTCTGTCCTAACTGGTAATCCCACTATAACCATCACCCCAACTCCCAGCACGGCTATCCTGCAGCCCAGCCTAGTCATGGGAGAACAGAACTTACAGTGGATATTAAATGGTGCCACCAGTTCACCGCAAACCCAAGAACAAATGGTAAGTATTATGTATGCACGGATCCAGTAGGGTGACGTGTGTTTCCATAGGTGATGCATTCAGAGGCTTTTACTTCAAAAAAGCAAGTGGCTATTGTATCCACCCCGAAACTTAGTCATTTCCCCCATAACCAGTGCTGTAAACCCAGGGAATGCTGCGGTCAGTGCGTCCAATAAGGAGGCGGAGAGACAGCCTTCAGGTTTACCTAGCAGTGGGCACTCGGACAGACACGCCAGCTGCAGTCCAATCCCCTCAGCTAGGACAGGGATGCAGGCAACAAATCCTGGAGACCCAGGGGCGCTTCAGGAAAGCCAGTCCTTCTCCAAGGCAGAGTCTAGACCGAGGTGAAGGGACTGATAGGACCCCTCAGAGGGAACCAGACAGCAGCAGCCAAGTCAGAGAAACCCTCTGTGCTCCCAGAGCCCACTGTATGGCCATTTTCTACCAAAACGTTCAGTCTGGATGACTAAGGAGATGACTTGGCCGCTCAGTTGAACACACTGAGGGCCTGCTGTGCACCAGATACCACACAGGGTGCTCTCGGGCACATAGGAAAGTGAAAAGGCCATGATCTCTTTTTCATAAAAACTTATATTCTGATTAAAGAGTCTAAGTGTCTGAAAGAAAGTTAGTTAACTTTACCAGTAGGCAAAGTGTCAGATCATAAAAGTAATAAAAAAATGACAACAGTTGTGATTTATCGAGCCCTTGTTATGTGTATGGCCTTTACAGTGCTCCCTAAGCCCTTTTAAAAATTGAGGATCTAGCATGTGCCAGTCATTACCTTAGCTACCTTATTTTTAGATCTTTTTTTTTTTAGGTTTTGTTGAATAGATAATACAGAGAATTTCCATACACTTCCTATAACCCCCACCCTGCTCCCCAACAGCCTAGTTTCCCCTATTATTAACATCTTGCTTCAGTGTGGTGTGTTTGTTACAGTTGGTGAATTAATATCGGTACATTATTATTAAGTAAAGTTCGTAGTTTACCATAGGGTTCACTCTTGGTACAGTGGGATTCTGTGGGTTTTTACAAATGGGTGATGTCATATATCTACCATTAGAATATCCAGAATAGTTTCACCCCCTAACAATCTCCTCTGCTTCACTTCTTTGTCCCATCTCCCTCTCCCCACTCCTCCAGCAACACTGATC